AAGTCGTAGTCTTGTATATATAAACCGGTAAGAACTGAATGCGAGGTAATGTGTAATTGAACTGCGAAGAGAGAATATTGTTGAGCACATGAGACGTTCATTGTGAATTATAGCATTTGTTATAGCGCGACTGTTGAAATTAAGTGTATCGCAAAGTTGTATTCAGAAAGAATAAACCAGTTTTATTTAAGAAAGGACTTGTATCAGTAAAGTTTCCTCGGAAAGAATTTTTACGAAAAAATTTGCTAACGAACGGAGACATAACTTATCGGAAAACACTGTGTGCATACTTACATATACAAAATAACAGTTGTTTTACTAGACTGTGTTCAGCTCCACAACTTTCTCTTCTTTAGGATTAATTTCCATAGAACTAAAACAGGTTTTTTCTTGATAGAAGTCTTAACTTGAAAATCTCTTAATAGTAACTGGCTAAAGAAAGCACACGTAAATTCAACGGGTAAACTCACTATTTTTGTCCAGTCAACAAGATCTTTGTTCCTCCACATCATTAGACAGTTGTTACACTTAGTCAACATTGTACTTGGCCAGCAAAGAATATTACAGTGCAAATCCTTTTAATCCAGATGATATATATTATCACAGTATCCATTTGGCCAGAATAAACATCACATATTATAGTAAACACACAAATGAAGCAGCCAGAATAAGGTATAATCTTAACCACTTTCCAGACCATGTGTTGCTGCCGTTACAGCATAGAAGCTAAACTGAAATTTTTTTGTAAAAATCTCTATATCACTAAAGCACGTAGAAAACATATGATAGGCCTGCATATCACCAATCTTTTAACATCCTTAAAAAAGGAAATATTCTACACCTAGAAGCTAAGTTAGTCACAACTACACATAAAGATTTTAGACATATAAGGTAATTTGCATCTAGGATAAAATAAAAATCACACCTGCTCCACTTTCACCATAGGCCAGATTACTAGGAATTGTTAATCTTCTCTTTTCGCCAATACACATCTCTGTCAAGCCAATGTCCCAGCCTTGAATCACCTGACCAATTCCTAACTGGAATTGAAATGGTTCTTTCTGATTGTAGCTAAAACAAAGGAAAAGCTTGTTTAACTCCTATTATTCTTGTACTACAAGTCCTTACCCTCATTAACATGTTTAGTTACTCATCTAATATGACTGTCTACAAACTAAGTTAACAAATAAAAGAAATCATTGAGGTATAAATTGCATAACTTTTTTAACAATCATTCACTACATCCCATTAATATCTCTTTCTTTAAATATATAAGCTTGTACTATTTTGCAAAAAAAATTTTTTAGTGATGTTCAAAAGAATACCTGCTTTATCCAGATCTAGAATACTCAGCCCTTCAAAACTGTTTCCAACATTAAATTAGGAAAATACACTTTAATGATTGAACATTCAATCAGTAACTTATTGTATAACATGTTGTGTGTAATTCCTTATTATATTGTTCTCTTCTGTATATGTATATATATATATATATATATATACTAGTTGATGTACCCATTCAATGCATGGGGGGCCAGAACCCACTTGCATGCCTTTCAGGATTAATTTGTCTTATTTGCTTTGTTTCTTCAGTAAGTTACAGTGTTGTAATGACTATATTGTTCAGGGGTTATTTTTGAATTATTTGGTAAAATAAAAAAGTATGCAAAGTCTAGTCCACACAATAATAACAAAACAAATATATTTTCTCTTAACACAAGTTCCAAAAGTACAATTTGTAAAAGTTTCACAATAAGCCGGCCCGGCATGGCCAGGTGGTTAGGGCGCTCGACTCGCAATCTGCGGGTCGCAGGTTCGAATCCCCGTCACATCAAATGTGCTCGCCCTTTCAGCCATGGGGGCGTTATAATGTGACGGTCAATCCCACTATTCGTTGGTAAAAGAGTTGGCGGTGGGTGGTGATGGCTAGCTGCCTTCCCTCTAGTCTTACACTGCTAAATTAGGGATAGCTAGCGCAGATAGCCCTCGTGTAGCTTTGCGCAAAATTAAAAAAAAACACAATAAGCCTGGCTTCACAAACAGATCTGACAGTCATTTGCTTGCTAACTTCTCTTGTACATAAGGTACTTGTATCACTATTACTTGTTGAAAACAAAAAAACTCATAATTCAGAGCACTGAAGTATCTAAGTGGCAATAATCAATAAAAAAAATGCCCTACTCTAGCATAACTCACACTTTTATATATTGCCCAAATAATTTCCTAAATTTTTTAAAAATATTCTAGACATTGAACTAAACACCCATCACATTGGTACAAGACATCACTTTAGTTAGCATTAATGGTAATATCTAAATTTTTTTAAATGCCTAAATCCATGCCTCCTCCATGGATTGTGAATTCACTTGAACAATCCTCTTACAAAAAAGAAAACAACTACATTATACTTAAACTTCCAATCTTAAAAATAAGAAAATTATCATTAATACTTATAAATATAGACATTACAATCATTACGTATTTATGTCCCTAAACTGTTCAGCTACCTCTTCTTTATAGTGGTATTCTTTTCTGTGGCTAATCGTACAAAGACAGGATGATTTCTGGTTGTTTATCAGCACCTTCTTTCTTGTTATTGGGGGAGTGCTCTTTAGGTAGATGGTTGAGGGAATCCACAAGTGGTTCCATCCATGGTGATACCCTAAAAGTGGTCTGAAAATGAACCTTGAGCTCTGCAGCAAGTTGGTTTACCTCTAGTGAAGTCTTTGATGTTAACTAGTTAGTTGTTTTCTAGCCAACATATTTCCAAAGATGATCATGGTTGACCTCTGGTCAAGACTATTTATTATTTTGAATTCTAAATGGCATCACTGATTCTTTTGACTACAGCATATGTTCATTTCCAACATTTATGTAACTTTCAGGGAGGAGAACAACAAATGAAATTTTTGTCTGGTCATGGGTTCTTGCTTTCCTCCAGAAGATTTTGGGGCACTAATTGCCATTAAATATTCACATTATTTATTGCTAAGATGATCAGTAAACTACAGCTATCTTTTCAAACTCTTGCCACTTTAACTGTCCCAATGATAAAAACCAAAGACCAGTTAACATACAAATTGGTCATTTCATTTCATAAAGTATTTAGACAGGTACTACACAAAGTGTAAAGATACTACATACAAGAGTTTAGATTTGCAATGATTAGACCAGTTAAGCCAAACTGATGATTTCATGAAATATTAAACCAAAACTTGTAAAAATCAGTTTGCACTAGGGCAAATTACTGACCAACATTTACAAACTGAGTTTTTTAAATGGTAGATATAGAATATTATATAAATGTTCTTGTAAGAACCTCTAGCTATCCTATTACTTTTTCTTTCAATTCTAAAACAAATCGATGCATGCTGGAATTTGCTTAGATTATGACAACTATTTTTTCAGTAAATTTTAGCTAATAAAGGGGCATGATAATATATTGGCAGATAATGTATTGGCATGATAATGTATTAGATCAGTAAGATAAAAAAGTTCATTGTGCATTTTTTTTTTTTATAAAATTTGCTGAACAGAACCTCTGACTTGCATTTAAGAACAAAGATGTTATACTATGTCAAAAAAGTTAACTTAAATAAAATGCTTTTTGGATTTTTAATAGCAAACTTTCTAATATAACAATATGTTCTAAACATGAAATTTCTGAAATTACTGTAATGATTTTTGAGATCTATAAATTCTAAATTGTTTGTTTGTTTGAAGTTAAGCACAAAGCTACATAATGGGATATCTGTGATCTGCCCACCACAGGTATTGAAACCCGGTTTCTAGTGTTGTAAGTCCACAGATGTACCACTGTGCCATTGGGAGGGGGGCTTCTGAATTGCAATATGTGGCTGGATTCTTTGAAACAATGAAAAAGATAGCATAACTTCCATCTATCATATTGTTACATCTCTGCTTGTTTGTTAATTTCCGGTGTAAATTCTTTCCGAGGAACTTCAGCGATACAAGTCCCTAGTTTATTCTTTCTCCATACAACTTTGCAATACACAGAATTATATACTAATAATATACTGGGCTTATATACTAATAAAAGGGCCGTCTAGCAAATACTCGAACATTCACGTGGTTCCTCGATAATTCGAGAAACTCTAGCGCGCATGCTCCCAGGTCACGTGACTTCCGCTGTCGTAACAATATTAATACATTTGTACTACGTTCTTATTTGTAACAAAAAGTCAATTGTTGAAAATACTTTGAGAATGTTGTAATATACTTGGTCCCCAAATTTTCATCAAATCATGATTATATCTCTGTCCAATTTAGGATTTGTATAAATTATTGAACATATAATAATAATTTTGATGAAAGAAAAATGTCTATTCAATGTAATTCTAAATGAATCCGTGAAAAAAGCATCATTATGCAGATGATGAAGAAATTAACGCCCACCTCCCATGCTGATCTTTCTTATCACCTGCCATTACACTTTAAGGAACTTGTGCATATCTGAGGTGTTCAGAAAACTTCAGCTTCAAAATACTGTTACATCTCCG